AAATTGTTGCTCAAGCAGAAGAACACATCATCGTTCTCTTTCTGCAATGCTAGAAGTGATCTCATCAGTCCCATGTAGTTGGCATATAATGACGTAGTCTGTGTGGGAGTGCTCTAATGTTGGTTGGTGAGCTCTGGTTCAGTGGTAATTGCTAGGGAAGACTGGTTTTTGGGTGTTTGGACTCATTTAGCTGCATGTGGGTCAACTAATTCTGGCAGCATATGGGCCTTGTTCAGATTTGGCCTCCACATGTGGAAAATGAGCTCTATGTTTGGGGTGTTATTCATTCTATAGCTGGATTGAGGTGTTTATTTTGGTGGTTTTATTTGAGGCGTACAGCGATAATCCATCGTAGTTGCCTGGAACAAGGCTATTTATTCCTTTGATGGAAATAGGATGAATTTTCTCTGTATTGTTTTCTTATTATTTTGGTATGCTACAAAAGTTGCATAAATGCTTTATGTGCCTCCGAAGTAACCTCAATCTACTACATGGGAAGATATTTTATCCAAAGCTAACATCTCTCTAGTTGGAATAATGAAGTCAAGATATGATATTTTAAAAGTATAACACATGAGGCCTATTTTATAAGCAATTTTAGGCATTTAGGCAAAGAACTGTGAGATAGCTTCCCACTTTAAGCCAGCTTGCTAGCTTACAGTGTAAGCTAGCTTGCAGTTAGTTTAGATTAATGGAAACACAAGTAGGTAAGTGAGGTGTCTATTTTAAATTTCTATTATTTCCTTTGTTGCTTTTCAAGTTTTCCAGCTACACAGACGAACCTGAATGACTTTTTGCCTACGCCCATCGTGCTTTCACATGACAAGTACAACTCCACCTGCGCACCAAAATTATGGCTAACTCTGTCCTCTGCCAGTAAACACCGCTGAACCTCCCAGTTTGGTTTGTTTTGTAACATCTTCTTTTTTCTTTTTTTTTTTAAACGTGACCCTTTCAGTTATTGCACCCATATTGTCCAAAGAGAAAAAACAACAACTTGTAGTTGCTAGATGGAAAAATAAACATCTCATTTCATGCATGCATGTCTTACACAAAAGCACAAACGTGGGTGTTTGTGTGGCTGCTTTTCTGTATGGGCTGTTTGTCTGCTGTCAGCCAGTCTGTCATTCAGTCACTTTTATGAATGTGTGTGGGTGGGAGCTGGTGAACCAGTTTTGCCACCTGTGTTTGCGTGTGTGTGAGAGAGAGTGTGTATGTGCATTAGATCCTTTTGACTATCTGCAAGCTAATTATATAACACCTCTCCCATTCACTCCCACTCAGCCTCTCTTCCTCCATATCTCTTTTAACGTCCCTCCTCAAACCCCCAACCTCTTCACACACACACGCGCGCACACACACACACACACACACACAAAGAGCATCGATTCAATATACAGAGGCACATCCTGTTATTGTCGGGTCGTTCATGAGGATTGGGACCGTGTGCATTGTGTCCCCGTGAGGGTGGTGGCTGTCATGCTAAGGCTGGGGAATGGCTCAGCCTTAGCATGAGCCATGCAGGAGACCTTCTGTCTCCTGCTTGCTTTTTTTGTTTGTTTTTTTTTGTCATGTATTGTTTTGTGCTCCTCAAGACTAAACTGTGGCTGCATTATCTTGTTTGTTGGTTTGATGTGTGTCCAATTCAGGCTCCAGTTGGCTGTCGTCTTACTTAAACGATCAGAAGCTGGGATAAGAACGCAACTACTTCCCTGATTACTAGTGTTATTAGTGTTATTGCCTAGTGACTTTTCAGTGTTTTAGTATAGAAATACTCATTTAGATGTGAAAGCATAACTTTGTCTAATTTGATAAATAACTTGCCAGACATTTACTTTCATTTTCAAAAACTGCACCTGGGCTGCAAATGTTACATTTAAAGGCAAATTTGGAATGACATGAGTTTGTCACAGTATGATAATCTTGAGCAAAAAGGCCAATTTTTACAGTATTAACACTAAAAATTAAAACAAAAAATTTAAAGCATAATGTAATCCCCTTTTAAACAAAAACTTAGCTATATTTCAAAGTTGCAGTTACTGTATAATAATGGTATCTGCTATATTTATTTTCTTTTCATAATATAGACTAAACATATGATAATTTAGTAAAAATTTTGAAATGAGTATTTTGCTTGATAATATCCCTTTTTGCTGTTCTGCTGCTTTTGTTTAGCCAAGTAATCGGGCTAGCTAGCAGAGTTGCTAGCCTGCATTCTGGTGCTTTACAGAAAACTTGCAGCGTTCTGTCTAGATTTATTGCAATCAAAAATATTTTCAGTCTAATTTTTTTTTCTTGACAGTGCAGGAACAGTTTAGTGGCTTCATTTGCTGTCTGTTTGGCGCTGTGCAGCAGCAGGTGGGGGAGGTACAGCACTGTGGTTCTCTGTCCACCATTCAGTCAGAGAAAATGTCACTTCACAAGCTGTACATATGCTAGAAGATTTTAGTGATTTGAAAGCACTTTTTTAAAACACTGTTGCATCTAGCTATTTGCTAGTAGCCTTTGCCGAATACAATGGGAACATTGATTTGGTGCTTGGAATTTATAATTTAATTGTATTGCAGTCTTAGCTCTTTACAAATATGACAAACTGCCTCAGTGTTTTTCAGATGTGAAGTTTTAATTGAAGCATAACTTGAAAGCAATCAAGTCCTACATATCAGATAGATTCAACAGCAGATAAAGAATAATAAAAAAAATAATCATGACATATTTAAACTTGTCAGTAATTTAAATTGTTTAACTTCCAAGACACAATAATTTATTGTCTTGATACACAAATTGCATGTGGAAACAAAGAAGCATCCTATTTCTTTAACATTTGTTTGTAGATATCTAACTGCTCTGCTTCCTTATTTGGAGTAACAGAACTAATTTCTTGTTTTACTGCAGTTGCCTTCTAAAACACAAAAGGAAACGCCCACAATTTCATACTAATATGTTGGGGCTCAGCAACACGCAGGGCTTCCCTCAGAGTATTATAAGCCTGGTGGACTACCAGGCTTTACTTGTGCCCAAACCAAGCTAAGCATTGGGGGTGTTTTTTTTAAGTCTTTTTAAAATGTTTGCATTTTTTTTAGACTTTATTGTTGGTGTTAAGGTATAAATCTTCCAATTTTTCAATAACACATAATTATCAAGTGATATTTTAAAATTTCCTGACAACCTTAAACATTTTTAACTCTAAAGCACAATGGGCTGGTGAATGAATGTCTACCCTATAGCCCAACCACCAGGCTTAGCAAGTTTTCTGGGGGAAACCTTTAACACATATCAGAATAGATCATTTTAATTTACCCTGCAGTTGTGACCTAATTAAAAGTGCATAAAAATACAAAATAAACCTTATTCTGCAGGATATGTGAGACAAACCAGTCCTACTGCAGGAAGTGTTTCTAAAAACATCAGAAGATGCTTAATGGCATAGAATAACCTCTAGTTGGGCAGTTTTGAGTGTTATTCTCTCAGATGAATAGCGAAACGGTGTGACTGCGGATAGCAGCTGTAAGTATTTATGTGCTGGTGAAGTTGAGGCTTTTTTGAATAAAACTATTGAAACCAGGAAGCTGCTATCACTCATTTTAAGCCCAAGCAGCAGCTATGTTTTTTTTTTTTTTAAATGCAGTCTGGAATAAAAATGTTTTGCAATATTACAGTCCAAAAACAACATCCTCACTGCTTTGTGGCTGTTTTATTTGGTAAATTCGGTTACTGGGACGGCCTCAGTTTTTGCAACGTATCTGACGTATCTGTACGTTCCACTTAATGATTTAAAACCCCAACGCTGAAATTTTGTAATTCATAATGCAGAAAACAAAAACGACAAACTGCCTGTTAACTACATGGGATGCGATCAAGTCAAGTACCAAGAGAGATTCAACACCGCCACTTGAAGTTGTGTTCGTGTCATTCTGAAATATTCCAGTTAAGATTATGACTGCTGACCATGAGAGTTTGAACATTGAGCTCTGTTTCCATTAGTTTTACTGTGTGAGTGTGTGTGTGTGTGCACGTTTGTTTGCAATACATTGTGGGGACCATTTTCCTGACACATACTACGCTGCAGGGACCTGCTGTTTTTGGGTCATGGGTTAGATTTAGGACTAAGATGTGAATTGAGTTTTGGTTAGGGGTTGGGTTAGGATTAGGGTAAGGTCTAGGCTCTAGAAATGAATGGAAGTCAATGGAAAATCCCCACAAAGATAGCCACGCTAACATGTGTGTGAGTGTGTTTAATGCTGACTTATCCTGGTGCAACACCTCCCACTTCAGCACAGTGAGGACCGAACAAAGTCGTGACTTGTGACGCCCTCAAACAGTCTGTCAGGGTGTGAATCCAATGCTGCACAAAACTTCTGTGGCATTAAGTCCACTTTGACATTGCAGCATTTTCAGCTTTAACAAACAGAATTTGAATATTAACAATTTATCTGAAGGATGTTTTTTGTTTAATATTTGGAATAATTGTTTTTTTTTTTCTTAGTTTCTTTAACATAAAGGAAAGCATTTTTGTATTGATTTGCCCGTTGTTCTGTTTTTACTACGGAAGGAAGTGGTTTGCACTTGAAGCAGCTTTAACACATACTTAGAAACTAGACCCGGGGTGGCCAAGTCCAGTCCTCGAGAGCCACCATCCTGCAAGTTTTAGAAGTATCCTTACTCCAACACACCGGGATCAGCTCTACAGAGGCCTGATAACGAGCCAGTCATTTGATTCAGGTGTGTTGAAGCAGGGATGCATCTGAAACTTGCAGGATGGCGGCTCTCGAGGACTGGACTTGGCCACCCCTGAACTAGACTGTACTTTAACAAAGCAATCATCTAATGACCCTAAAGACTTTTTCCAAATGATGATTCAAACGATGAATCAGTTAATACTTTTCTTAAAGCACGGTCGGTTTCCTGTAATTAGCATTTTAAGACTGAGACAAACACAAATGTCACACTGATGACCCCATTCTAACAATCTTCCACCTTTCTTTCATCCTTCCATCCAGTGACAGCTACATCGTGCGTGTGAAAGCGGTGGTGATGACGCGGGACGACTCAAGCGGCGGCTGGCTGGCTCAGGATGGGGGGGCCCTCACCCGGGTGGGCGTCTGTCGCCTCCTTCCTACAGAGGTGACAAATCTCTCCGGCTCCAGCAGTTCCCAGTTCGTCATCCGGGGGGAACGGCTGCGTGACAAACAGGTAAGACATAAAAATACCCCGAACGTTTGTGTTCTTTTGACTGTGGGAAGTGAAGCTTAGTTGCTACTGGCCGGATGCACAGGTGATCCTGGACTGTCCGCTGAGGAAGGACATAGTGTACACCATCGCAATGCCGACATTTCACCACTGGAAGGTGGAGGACAGGCGGTGCGGCCTGTCGTTCCAGTGTCCAGCTGATGCCAGAGCCTTCGACAGAGGGGTGCACAAAGCAATTGAAGACCTGGCTGAAGGTACTCTGTGCTGGAATGTGGGTTTGGTTGGTCGTCACTAGCTGTGTTTCCATTTAATTCTCGTGTGAATTTTGAGCGAACGCTTAAAAATTTGCAAAACAAGAAAATGCAAATTCAGCGTGTTTGATACTGGTTTGACTACGTCATATGTTGACTTTATGCATGGCTGTAATAAGCAGGTAAACATTTGCTGTGTCAGTACTTATTCGGCAATAGGGGTGAGTGATATGAACTTAGAATTTGATTGTAATATTTTGTGGTATAACAATAAATATGATAAAAAAAACTATTATTTATGTAATTATATGGCTTGGCCAGCCTAAATTTTATGTTATTAATCTACAGATGACTGTAAATGGGTGTTATTATTTAAACTACATTAAGTTTAATAATTAGCTGGGTTTTTAAAATCTGATATTAATAAATTGTAATGCTGGATACAAATATCTACAAATTTGAAATGTTCAGCAGCTGTTTCTTCACAAAACCCTGGTGCAAAACTTCTTGGTAAATAAAAAACATGTTACCTCACAAACAAGGCGTTTTTCTGGGCTAAATTTCTACCATGGTCATTTGTTTATTCCATACCCAGTGGAAGAATACGAGGTATAACAAGTGATTTAAAGAGGAACTTAAGTCTTGTCGGACATTTATTCAGACTAGTACTTAAAAAGAGAGTGTCAGTTTAGCAGATAACAGGAAGGTTAAAGTGGGGAAAGCAATTCTTTTGAGTGGAAATTTATGTTAAGGTTTAAAGGGTCTTCATTTTGTCAAGAATAAACACAGTCACAGCTGCTAATGCTAATATAAAATGCAAACATTCTGCATCCTTAATCATTTAATAATTACTGAATAATCAATGATCATTTGAAAAGCATCTCATACAGTCTGACATCTCCTAATATCAATGTAATTTATAGTTCTTAATCCTTGTGCGTGCGAGGATTGAGGCAAACGTAGAGGACTATGGCAAATGATGCAAGTTTTACGTGTGCGGGGTCGGTTGGACCCCATTTCTACATACAAGGGTTAAGGAAAATGTTGCTCTTCTAAAATCAGTATCAGGAGATCAAAGATAAAAAAAATAAAATAAAAAAAAAACTGGAAATTGGCAACAAAACTGTAATTTGTGTATCTCGAACTAAATAAGCGTCCATTTCTTCCACGTTGAAGTTAAGAGTTCTAGAAAGTCAGAGAGACGAGAAATCTCCTCTCCGGTTCATGACTAGAGGTGTTTAGTGGGCGGTGTCCAAAACACGGCAGGTAAAACCGGTCGGTCATGGCGAGGAAATGAATGAGGTCAAAGTATGTGGAGAAACGTGTTCCGAAAATAGTTTTTCTAAAGTTTTGATAATGCGACAGGATGAGGAAGTTTACATTTAGAAGCTGTAAAACCTGAGTCAATTATTACTGCAAGTGCAACTTTAAAAGAGATGAAAGATAGAGCTGCGTTTTCCGAGCTGCTCACTGCGATGTTTCCCTCTCCGCAGGCTCCACGACTTCCTCTACGGCACTCCAGAACGAGGGAGAATTGGGGGACGACGATGTTTTCACTGTAAGCAATTTTTTTTTTAAATAAACAGAGTCCCTAAGAAAACGAGTGCAAAACATTAAAACTTCTTTGGGGTTTTTTTTTTTCTTCCCCCCTCGACAAATGCACGAAAACGGAATCTCACTCATACATGGCGATGCATTCACGCTGCTGGTTTTAGGCCGGACATTTGTGGTTGCCTTGCACTATGCCAGTCTGTTTGTGAGAGAGGGTCAAAGTTGATGCATCTCTGAGCTGAGCGGGTGGCGGAGGAAGTCGCAGAGCCAACTTTTATTGTGCAACGTGTTTCATAGCGTTCAGCGTGGGGTGAGCTCTTACATTCAGCATGTAAGGCGATGTTTCAACTCGCTCCTCTTCCTCCAAAAGAAGCAACTAAGTAACTCTTTAAGGAACTATGCGATACTGATTGTAATCTTCTTTCGGGGGTCGTAGTTTGAGGTATGAGCTGGCTGCGGGTCCCACTACAGGGTCGGGGGGCAGAGGGGAGCATGTGTGATGTTGATGAGGAAGTTCAAGTCATGAAGTGGTTTTGTTTGACAAGGACAAAAAAAAAAAACAACAACCCTAATGTGTGTTTTGTTTCTTAATTTTCCATTCGCATGATAACAAAACCTTAAAATCTTGATACTCTAAGGGTCTTTTTCACACCTGAAAGGTGGACTCGGCTCGATTGGGGACCAAAATTGTTACGGTTTCAGGTGCTGCAGTTCTCTTTTATATTACATTGTATCAAACAAACCAAACTCATTGAAAAACTTGATAAACCTCACACCTCTCGCCTGTGGTGGCGCTGCACCAAGAATCATTGAAGGAAACGGCACAAAAACCTCTGAAGAAGACATTGAGCGCAACTTTCTTCTTCAGAAAATGTTAACAAACATGGAATAGTGTCAGATTTTAGTGATTGTAGGGCTATTCTTTTGTTTTTTGTAAAAGACCAGGATCCATTTCTCCTGCTAGCGCTAGACTCATGCATTTGCTTTGCTTGCGTTTACCCAGAAGTCCTTGCGTTATAGTTTGCTTCCTGCTTTGGAAGCAGTCTCCGTTCTGCTTGCATTCACATACGTATTCGTACCATAGCTCGTGTCATCTGAACCGGGACTTAGGTTTTTAGTTGGACCAGAGTTCACTTTTTTGGTCCATATAAGTTAAGTTGCGCATTCAGACCTACCCAAACAAACTAGACTTTCTAGGTGAACAAACTAGAATTAGATTGACGCGGTCTATACAGAGCTGGTGTGAACGCACCCTAAAACAATCAGATTCAAATCAATAAGCTCTAATAATCCTGAGCTGATCAGGACAGATTTCACTTGACACTTACTTGAGACCTCCGGTCTCATGGGTTGGAAGAAATTTGACTTTACAGAAGTTTATGTCGCAGTGAAGTAGATGTTGTTGCTCTAGAAGTGCATCTCTTATCACAATCATCAGAAGCTAAACAGAAGAAGTAGGCCCTTAGTGGCGGTGTTATTTGGCCAGGTAATCGTGTTGCTGCTTTTCTTTTGTTTATGCTGCAACAAAGGATAAAGCAGTTGCTGCAACACAACATCATGCCACTTTCATAGAGTCTGACAATGGCCCGGACTGTCGTAGAGAGTTTTGGCATACGTAGAACCTGGGCTCAAAAACTGGTTACCAGTGTCACCATCACGGTTTTAAAAAGTTTCAAAACTGTTCCTTCATACAGAACATATGACATAAAGTAGGGCTGGGTGATAAATCCATTTATTTTTCACCAATGCACTACTTGGGTCTCCATAGTTCAGAGTGATGTCAGCACACCCAGGATTGCCATCTTGTCTGTCAAGCGTGTTTTACAACTTCTGACAACGTTAAATTCAGTGAATTTAACATTGTCAAAGTACTAAGGCCAGGCTACAATTTTTTCTCAAAATTAGGAGACTAAAAAGTCAAAATATACCAAGAATACTGTGATACTTTTGCTGTGTTTTCACACTTGCTAGTGCAGTAGACTTGGCTGGATTTGTGACCAAAATTGCAGCATTTCTTATAGTTTCATGTAGTGCTTTTTGTTTTTATTGTGCCAAATATACCAAACTAATGGAGCAACATGTTCCTGCTGGCGTTAGCACTAGCACTAGACTTTTCGGTTGGTTTTGGTTGTATTTACCTGGAATGCAGTTTGCTTCCTGCATTCGGAGCGGTTTCCATATGCATTTGAATTGTGCTACTGTTCATTTCAACCGAACCGAGACCTGGGTTTTTAGGCGGACCAGAGTTTGCTTTTTTGGTCTGCATCAGAGTTTGATTACACATTCACACATCTGTAAACAGACTGGACTTTGTAGACAAACTAACTGGAGTTTGATTAAAGGGGACTAACAAGGGCTGGAGTGATTTCACCTTTAGAAACTTTAGTATGGCATCCTAATAAAGGGCTGTGCTTAAAATATCACAGTACACCAAACTAGACATGACAGTGTCTAATCTTCTACCATCTACAAATCTTATGTAATTGAAAAGCTTGCCGCAAGAATCCGAAGTGAAACGTACAATGATGACCCGTACTGCTGTTCTTCTGCATAAAACATTTACAAACTACATCTCATCAGCTCAGGATTTAATATTAGTCTTCTGTTGTGCATACCTGCCACAGCAGATAGATCTCCACCTTAGGTTAACATATAGACATTTTATGTGAACCCACCATTTACCTCCTCCTTTAGTACTGAAATCTGACACCAGAGCGAGCAGGCAGGGTCACAAGGTCACTTCCTGTATCCCACCAACTCCCTTCGCATGCACACACACACACACACACACACACACACACACACACACACACACACACACACACACACACACACACACTATCTTTGCGCCCTCCCATTTGGAAGGGAGAGCAGCCGCCGAGCTTGCGCGGAGCAGCTGTTTCCCAGCTTAGTGCGGGGCTGCTGATTTACGAGAGGAAGTGCCTCGTGGTTCATCTTTGACTCGAGCTGTCTGTTAGGGCCAAGACTAATAGGTGCTCTGCTGGGAGTGTACAGCCACCACAGAGACACACACAAACACATGAGCAGGAGTGGAGAGGTGAGGCTTCGGGGGAGGGATGGTGGTGCGGGGAATACTGTAGAAGCTTTCAGTGGAACGAATTCGAAGCAGTCCTTTGCTTTTGTTGACAGAGAAACTGCATTATTATTATTTTTTAAATAAAGACTGGTATATTTCAGATCAAACTTAATGTTGCAGCAGTTAATAAAACCTTACAAGATACAAAAATATGCTTAATATTTCCATTTTAGTAGGATTTGTTTAGCATATTACAAAGCAGTCCCCGTTTGTCTGCCTTCTTTTAAAGAGTCTACCATCAGTTGTCCTATCTGTATTTTTAATCTAGAATACCCAGAGAACATATATGTAGGCCTGTATGTTTCTCTTTGACATTGCAGCTGCAGGTGATGCCAGCCTTTAACCACTTTGATCAGAGTTCTCTCTTTAGTTAGATTTTGTCTAAATTACAGGATAATTGTGGTATTGAGCTTATACCACAACTCTACTGGAGTGCTATGAGTTGTGAATCTTTCATCTCTGACTGCTTTGATAACGTGGTTGATGGCACACAAAAAGGTTTGGTTGAAACTTTAGATTTTCCCTCTTAAGGTTGTAGGCATTAAATTATAGTGAGACCGCTGCCTGGAAACTGCTGATGTTTTTGGATGTCGACTGGGGGAAAAAAAGGTCCATGTTTCAATGGCACTGCCAAGACACTTTGAGTCAACTGAAGTTGTCATGCCAGGCCATTAGATGGCGCTGTGGTTTCAGCATGTCGTTGAATGCATCTGCGCTTTTGACCCTTAGTTCCACCTCACTAGCTAGCACCTCATTGTGAAAAATAACCCGTATTTGTCTCCCACGAACGAAGTGCTCACGTAACACACGTTGTGTTAAACTGAACACGTTAAGCAGCTCAACGCATCACGATGCTGTCTGCCATTGTTTTGTTATCTGCCCACACATGCGCAGAAGGAACCCTGAAGCTGTGCGTTCTGCGCATGTGCGCTTTTGTACAAGCAGAGGACTTCACACCTCTGCAGGGGTGTTACAGAAAAGTGTCAAAAAGTGCTGGTGTGAGAGGCTCCGGTCACTGGTGGTGTGTAAACGAGCGGCTTGATCACCACAAAAAGGTTAAGGTTTAACTGAAGAGCGGTTCTGTGCAACGAGACCTGAGCTCCTCATGTCTTACTGTTTTATTGTGGGGTCACGGATTTGATCCCGCTATCCACAGTGCTCTGTTAAACACTGGTGCCTCTTGGGCTTTTCCACATCTCCTTACCTTTGCCAACCTCAAAACCTAAATGTTTTCCACTGGAATTTTGTGTTATAGATCAACACAAAGCAGTGCATAAATGTGGAGTTTGGAAGAAATGATGAGCACTTTTCAAAATTAATCTGTATCAGAACTAATTTGACACATCTACCCCAACATGCTGCCACCACGAACGCCTCATTGAGCTGCTTTAGTGTCGTACTCCTAAGTTAAATTGTAGCATCGTCAGTTGGCTTCAGCAGTAAGCTAGTTTCAACATCTGAATTAGCACTGCTCTCAACCCATCATTGAAAAAAGTATGATATAGCTGCTGACCTGCGGATATATGGCTTCCAAGTTCATAGTGACAGGTTCAGTAAGGAGAGTATCAATCAGAGAACAAACTCTGGCACATTGAGGCACATTGTGACTGTGGAGGAGATCAACAACTCAGGTGGAAGAATATGTCGACAAGACAACTACTAGCTTCATGGTTCTACTAATCCGGCCTTTACGGAATAGTGACGACAAAAGAGCCATCGGAAGTCCTGGTTGCCTTAAGGGGACACATCATATCTATGGAAGAAGGTGTCCTGGTCACTGTAGACCATCATTGACTTTTTGGGGTCTGCAAGCACAGCACTGCTTGTAATCGAAAGCTTTCTCTGCACATTCACCCCGAACACAATGGCAAAAAAAAAAAAAAGAAAACAAAGGTTGCTAATCATGTAGCCAGAGCCACAATGAAATGGTTAAGATCAAAACACATGCACTTGATAGAATGACCCAGTCAAATTCATGAGCCTAAATCTAATTTAGAATCTTGGGCAAGACTTGAAAATTGTCCACATTCACTCTTTACTTGATTTGCCTCAGCTTATGCTGTCTTGCAAAGATTTCGCAGAAGCCGGTAGAGACTTGCCTCTGTAGCTGCTCGGTAGGGCACCGTTGCGACGTATTAACTTTGAAGAACCTGAGTACATACACACTTTTTGCCAGCTATGGATTATTTTCCAACCGCATCACAATTTTTGCACTGGTTGTATAGGTTTGCATTGGTTTATCAAGTGAAATCCTAACAAAGGCTATCGATGATAGTGTCTGTAACATGGCCAAATTTATGTGTACTACATTCTCTTACTATACATTTTTGACAACAGGTGCAGAATTGTAGGTCCATAACAGTTTGTCTGTAATGCAAAGTTGCTTATGGTTTGAACAACCTCTTAAAGGGAATGGCGACTGCAATAGAGCTTGGGAGGTGCACAGTCATGGACAAGGGGAAATGCTTCGTCAGTCTGCCATTTAGCGGCTGGATAGTTGGATGGGGAGAGCACCAGCAATGATGGACTTCCCTAAATTATTCCTCATTCATCAAACCTAAACTTAACTCAGTCCAGCCCCGTTCTGCATGTCTCCTGTCTCTGTGTCTATTTTGGCTCATTCATAACAGGGGGAGTGAAAACTATTGAAGCAATTCTAGGTCGTGCAAGTCTGGCCTGCTGAAGGATGAATCCTCCTGGGCTTTTAGACGGGCCATGTTTTGTATCAGAAAATAACCTGAAATGCCCTCCGTCCAGCCTTGGACTGGAGTACACAGCAAGAGGATGTCCAGTAATATAAACTCTCCCCCATTTCTCTGTCCTCTTGTGGCGTTTGGGCTCAGCAGCAGAAAGTCTGGCCTGTGTTTTGAATTAGTTGCAGCCACGGAGGCCAGAGTCGGACTGGTTTTGTACCATATCCGCTCCTCCTTCCCCCCCAGTAATGGCTTCTGCAGGGGGGCGGGACCAGGAGCAGAGGCAGTATGTTATGTTATTTTTGGCTAGCTGCTCTCAGGGCTTTGTAAGAAAGCTGGGGGAAATTCTCGGCATGGCAGTATCCATGTGGGGAGCAGGATATAATGGGGATGGCTTCAGCAGACAGAGCAGACCGACACACACGCACACACACACACACCAGATCTGGGTCATATAGCTCAAATAACATCCCAGATTTGATCTGAAGTGGTATGTAATGGAAGGTTTCAAAATGCTTGCAGATAACATGTCCCAGGACTGTATGTAACCTACAGTCGATGCACACTGAAAACCATTGTAATTTGCTCAATATTTATGGTTACAAGTGTTTGCATGTTGAACAGGTGCTTGCAGTTTGAACATTCATAAAGAGTCACTGGCATGCAAACAATGATCACAGGCCAAAATAGGAAGACTTGTCAGCGATATCCAATACTGGATATCCGATCAATATCCTCTATCTACCAGCTGGACCAAAGGTTATTACCACTGGTGGCTAAGTCAATAGCAGAGGGTCCTCAGACTGTCTGGTGTGTCGGACAGCAGTTGCATTAGACTAGTGTTCTCTACTGCTCAGAACATGCTGCCATGCAAAAGTGGCTATTAAACCTTCAGCTAGCAGCTTAGCACATGAAAGCACAAATTACTGAATGAAGATCTATTGTACTTTAATTGTCTCAGATTATTGAATTAGTGAATGGTAGCAATAAACTCAGCAACAGAACAACTCATTCTCGAATAACAAGCTATGTTGATCTACATTTCTTAGGTTAGCAGTGCAGTTGAACAAAACCTTTTATGTTGAAATTAGACACTAGGCTTCTATTTTAAATAAAGAAAAAACATACTCTGTGTAAGCTACAGTCCTTGTTGGCAAAAGTTGGCATGCTAAGAGCTACATTAGGTTAGGATAAGTACATAATATAAATATCTAAATAAAGTAATAAAAATTGTAATATACAATATTGTAGCTACTGTGTTGCCATAGTTTTAATATAATTGTTGGCCATATATATAATATAATCAAATTGTGTGGCATTTTTTCCCTGTTCACAAATGTGTAAAATAATAATAATATCAGACTAATTCCTGCCCGAATTGCTAAGGCTAATTAGCATTCCTGCCAGGAAGGCTAGTTAGCATTCTGGTTTGGAATGCCAACTAGCCACTGATAAGAGCGGATAAGCAGTTTTTCTGTCAAGGTAAGTTGTTTCTATGCCATTAACATAGTAAGCAGCGAATACATGAGGTTGATTGATAGCGCTGACCCTCCTCCTGGCTCTGGTTGGTTGTTTTTGACCGGGAGCGGCGCATTTCTTCAAACGGCAATGGTAGCACTGGGGGAAGGTGGCGGAGTTCAGTCTTTTCACAGATTCTGTGTCTCGTATTGCACTGTCATGACATGGTGATAGTTTTAACAAATATGGAAAAAAACTTATTTTTAAAAAAAATAAAAATTACATACTGCAGCTTTGAAGAATAATTTTATACTGTCTTTACATGTTTAATAATCATAACAGTGCAAACATGTAGCTCTTTGTAAGACACTATTCCTCTAACTCTCCCTTTCTTAATCACCAGTGACTTATTTAGCCTATGTCATAGTCCAGTTACACTCTTTCATCCCTTTCACCGGACTGAACCGCAGCTTGAATAGCGCCTACCCATGCACTCAAATAACCATGATGACATGATGAGACAGGAGCAGCACCAACCTGCCTGTCAGACGGAGCCCTCAGAGGATGACCCCTGGCTTGCTCCGTCTGAAAATGTGTCTGTCTGAGAACGACATGGCAACAGCCCGACTGCCTTGTGTCTGGCCAAGGTTTGGGTTGGATTTGAGCCCTGACAGCCTTTAGCGGAAAAGGAACAGGATACTATTTGTGCACACACACACAAAGGCATATGCAGAGCAGTGCAGAGTGCCGGCAAGAGAGGAGAGAAGCGGAATGTGGGGAAAAGTGCGATGGGGGAGAGAGGAGGACAGGTTGTTGTGAGGCTAGGAGAGTTAAGATCGGGGGGGTGTTGGTGGGGTGTGCGTTGGAGAGGCCAAAAAAGGTGACTCTGGTTACCGTGCGCAAATGTCTTGAGTTATGATATTGAGTTGCACCACATACTTTATCTGGAGCATTTTTGAAGTTGTTTGTGTTTCTTCTTCACTAAATGTTTAAGCAATCTTTTTGCTGTAAAAGATTGCAAGTCATTTTTTTTATCTTTGTTGTTGAGTTTTAAAAAGGTTTTGTGGTCTCTTAAGATGGCCTTAGGTATGTTTCTGCCTCTTCATGCCTTGAACGTTGAACCTAACATGCAGCAATCCAAGCTTTGATGAAGTGGCTCTAACAAAACATTTCACGTGTTTTCCTGTTTTTTTCCCAATCAGTGCTGCTACAAGGCTTCCTGTTTTTGTTTGTCCAATCACGGTGTACTCTAACACTGGCTATTTGTCTGCCACGTCCAATGAAACAGCAGCGATTGAGCACACATCCTGTGTTTGTTTGTACACTCAGAACGCCACAGACAGCTCATCCAACTCCTCTCAGAAATTGGACAGCTCCCTGCCGCCGCTCGAGTCCTCGCCCCTTCCTCAGAGACATAAGTGCACGCCAGGACATCGACATGACTTGCATGATGCCTACCGCCTCACAGACCACTACTACTTGGACCAGGTAAACGGGTCTCCTTTATTCACAGTTGAATAGATATGCATCTTCTCAAGTTTTAGCTATTCATTGATTAGTGCAGTTGCATTTCTCTCACTACCACGTGATGCATGTCCTGATAGTCGAGTACGCTCGGTTCGATTACGGACCAAAGTCCCAACATTTGCTACAATTTCAGCTGATGTGGTTTGCTTTCACTCTGCATTGTCAAACGATCCAAAGCCTTTGAAAAACCTGTTGATCACCTCGCCTGTGGTGGCACTGCACCAAGAAACACTGGAGGAAATGACATGAAAACCTTTGAAAAAGACACTGAGCACATCTTCCTTCTTCCTTCTTCTGGAATTGCGTCAGATTTTTTGTAGTTGTAGGATTTCTCTTTTGTATTTGATAAAAGACCACGAGTCATTTCTTGTGGTTGTAAATACCCAGAATGCCATGCACTGTTGCTCGGTTCCTGCTTTTGGAGGGGTCTCTTACTCTCCTTGGCATTCACGTATGGATTGGAACTGCATCAGATTTCACTTCAACCAAACCGAGACTTGGGGTTCTTAGGTGGACAAGAAATTGCTTTTTTGGTCCGCATTAGAGTTCGATTGTGCATTCACGCCTCCGCAAATGAACCAGACTTTCTAGGAAAAGAAAACTAGAGTTTGATTAAAGCGGACTAAACAGGGATGATGTGAATGCACTGGTTTGTTGTTGCACAGCAAAAACAAAAAGTGCAATCAGTTTTCTTACTGCATTTGACTTTCTCACAAGTACAACTTCTGTAAAAGTGGGTTGTTGTGGTAGTGTGTCATGGGAGATGTAGTGTGATCTGTGTGGACACTTAACTGGCTGGACATTGACAGTAACTTGGTAGACCTCAGTGAGATTTTTCTTGGTTTACAGACGAGTTTATTTTAATGCTCTTTACCGGATGTACCTATAAATGTGGCCTGTATTGTACGTTTGTCTAACGACATTTGCTCAAGTAAAGGTTCTTTCTGTCTCTCCCCTTCAGCCATTGTCTCGGATTCCTCGACACGTCACCTTCGAGGATGAGGAAATTGTCCGAATCAACCCCCGGGAGCGCAGCTGGGAGCGAAGCACAGAACGCTACCTTGGACGCCAGGCAGATCGCTCCTTGAACACGGGCTATGAGGACTACCGACACGCCATTGTGCGTGATCGATACATCCACCCGGATGAGACAGAGTCCTATGTACACTTCGACAAAACAGAGGCGCAGAAGCACGACTATACCTACCCTCTGGCACCTTCCTTGTCGCCCTCAGACTCTGACCCTGCTCTAGGATCCTTGAACTCTAAGGGTCACAGCGGCTCCTACCACCAGCCCTTCTCTTCGGTCGTCTCCAGCCAGCCTCGGTCATTTTTCACGAGCTCTTCCCCGTCCTCCAATGGAAGGAAGGGGCGGAAGGACAAAGGGTTGGAGCGTGCTCAGTGCGAGCACTGCGGCGAGGCCTTCTACCTCTCCGAAAATCGGAGAGGACGGTGCCAGGACGCCCCAGATCCCCTGCGAGTGTGCATCCGACGGGTTAGCTGCATGTGGCTGGCAGACACCATGCTCTACCACTGCATGTCTGACCCAGAGGGAGAGTACTCAGACCCCTGCTCCTGCGACGGAGGCGAGGGTAGTGGCGGGGGCCGACTTGGCACCCGCTGGTTGGCTTTGCTAGGCTTGTCCGCAGTGGCGCCGTGCCTCTGCCTCTACCCGCCCCTCCACGCCTGCCACCGGGTGGGGCTCACATGCGGCTGCTGCGGAGGCCGACACAAGGCCCAGAGCTGAGATGTCGTACTTGGAATCCTCTCAGAGGAAACATTGAAAAAAAAAAAAAAAAAAAAACTTAACCCAACGCAAGCACAGGGAAAAGGACGGATGGGGAAAAAGCTCAAAGAGGAGGAACAAGTGGTCGCGGCCGTTCGCTCTCTTGCCTTGGTTTTTCTGGGTTTCTCTACAAATTCCAGACACTGAAATAAGCCAAATAAGAAAAAAAAAACTGTTGGTGCATTTTGTGAACAGCCTGGGAAGATAAGCTCCCCCTTATGGCAGACAGTTCTTTCAGCTCTCCATGTGGCCATTTCATGCTCTGTTTCTAAAGAGAGCAGTCTTTTTCAGGGGGCCTTTTTTATAGCCAACCTATACGTCATGTATCACATATGCAGGTACTTTATATTGTTATATTTGTACATTGACTTGGCCTCAAAGAACTTGAATTCTTTGTTGTATTTTTTTTCTTCCTTTAATGTCTCTGTGGCCATATTGTTTATTTTCTATTCAAACATCAGGCCCGCTCAGTTCAACAGAAATCAGACACTACACCTCTTTGGGAATGTGTGTGTGTGCGCACGCGCGTATGTATGTGTTTATATGAGTGTAAGTTGAGGCATTTTGTTGTCTTTACTGCAGCTTATAGTAAAGCTAATGTATATACTCTTCATAGTTCTCTGCAGACATCTTTCCTCGCTCAAACAAATGCGGTACAAATCTTAAAGGCACAGTTTAGATTTTTGAAGCAAGGTTCTGTGAAGGTATTATCAGCACCAGGTCCCTTTCTTGTGAGCAGACAGACGTCTTATCACAGTGAGTTTGTAGAAACGTCAGTAAATCCTCACATGGACTCCCCGTTATATCTGACTTGGGCGGTTTAGCTAAAAACGTTTGTGGAAATATGACACTACAGTTGCGGATATCGATCGTCTACACTTTTGCAAGAGGCCGTTGAGAGGTTTGTCACTTTTCTCCACCGAACAATGTCAACGTTACTAGGAGAAGTTGTGCTGTCGGAATTATTTCTAAACAACTTACAAGACCTGGAAAAGCACAGGAATGCAAAAAAAGACAGCCTGTCACAAAATTCAACAGTTCACTCCCCTTTTGGTGGACTCGAGATTATACTGACATAATGCAGCTGTAGTGTTATGGAACCTTGGAAATAAGACTTTTTGCATATTCACAGATGAACATGCACGTTCATGACTGTAGACTAAAAATAGTCTTGACTGAATCTTCAGGACAGCTTCTAGAGTCCTAAATGTGAAAGAATTGAGATGCATTTCACTACATGACAAATAATGACCTTTAAAGTAGAAATGTTTTCTTCTAGTTTATTATTTGGTCAGGTTTTTATATGAATGCCTTTGTTTATAATCAAACACTTCAGAGACTTTAGATTACACTTCTGCTTCCAACCAGCAGTGTGTCTTACCGTTAGTTATTGAATTTTTTCCTTGCTAGCATAAACATTAAGGTTTGATATCATGGTAGAGTTACACATTTTAAAATGGCTATCTAATGTAAATTGGCACACTTTCCAAAATTCACTGTCAAAGATGAAATCAGAACCAGTAAGAGACTCTGGAAGGTTGGAATCAGTGAAGCTTGTTTTTAGCTAGTGGTCTCCACCAACTTAAATTTGTATCATATCACAAATATTTGACTGAGAAAATGGCAACAACTCAACAATGATGTCTTGTGATCTCCATGAATATGGAACAGTCGAAGTTAGTTATTTTAAAATCAGCTTAAGCTGAGCTAGCTAGCTAGCTGTTAAAGGTCTTCAGCTCTGACGATTTCAGCATTTTCTACAGACTCGCTGCAATGTGACATCTTTCTAGTACAGCTAAGGGAATTATTAGCGATAACACCTTAACAGAATCTCTCTTCAGTGAATGTAATCTATCCTTTTAATACTCTTAAGATATTCCAAAGATTTATGTTTTTTTTTTAAATCCTATTTATTTACTCATCACCTACCCTTAGAAGTGTAATTCAACGTTGCCTCAAGTAATGCTACGATAATCTAGCATCCCTTCATCTTTCTAATGACTTTAAAACAGTGCCTAGAAATTCCTGTAACCAGGTCACCCACTGAGTCTTACAATTCCAGTCAGCTCATTTTGTTCAGCAAATCAAGAACCTCCATCCAGAAATCAAGATTTTTTATATTTTTTTTTTGGTCAAACACTGAAATAATAATAATCGCCTACCATTTAACCATTTGTGCCCATATGCCTTAAAATGTGGAGTCTCGGTCTAAACTTCACTTCTCTCTTTAAAGATGTCTGCAACAATCAAACTATTCAACTGGACGTGATTTAAACTATTTTTGTAACAAGAAATTTCAAGGAAATTTGGAGAAAAAAAAAGTTCTCACTACATATATAAGCTATGGACTCTAGTTTGCCTGCGATATACAATCACCACACCCTTTATTTTTTGTATTTTTTATTTATTTTTTTTTTTACCATCAAATCCCAAACTTTCTCACTGGTCACATATGGAACAGCACAGGCCTGACGAATTGTACTGTATCTTACCAAAAATAGACCCTTTATAAGCTCCCTGGAAGGAAAAAAAAGACTTATCACTATCACTAAAATTAACCCAAAAATCAAATGGCTTTTATTTTAAAGAGAAAACCAAAAGTGAGTCATACTTCTGCTTAAATTGAATACCGTGTTGATAATTGGTACTTTAATTTTGATGCATATCCACAATATAAAATAAACACCACCTACATTTAGCAGTAGTTTCAAAGCAAACGTGCAGATAATATTAAACCTTTATGCTCTTCTGCTCTTTGAGTTACACAAGTGGAACAAGTTCATATTTCATGGTTAGCTTGGAAGCTAGCCTGCAGTCTGCTGCTGTACAGATATCCAGCTCATAGCATGTTCTTTGTGACTGTGAATATTTCCTCATAGTTACATTTTCTTCAGGCAAAATACATAGCAGCCTTCTTTCAGATAGCTGGCTAACACTGCTCGGCAAATGACACATTTCTAGTCACTCTGACACTTTCTCCGGCATCTCAATAAACAAAGTTTACACTTTAGGAAAAGTATGGCAGAAGATCTGTGCCCTTTTGAAATGGTATCTTTTTAAAGAAGTGGTATTCGTTCATGACCAGCCCGTGCCTACTCGTGACCCAAAGGATCTGCTGAATACACGAATAGGTCAGTTAGCACATAACATAATTGTATTTCTTTTCTATATTATTTTATTCTAATATTTTAAGGCTCTTTAAAATCCACCTATTCCTCCAAAATCTAAACAGAAAAAAAAGAAGTGAGTGTTTTATATGACCATGCCATTTGTTGCAAAGGTAAAATGACTTCCAGGAGTTTCAGAATAAAACGCATAACCCCCCCCCCTCCCCCACCCTTGATTTATTCAACTTATTCACTCTTAATTATAAAGCAACTTGGTTTATCGCCGAAAGTCAGTCTGTCCGTCTCGGGCTTTAAAAGTTGTTGTGAACATGAGAAACAAACTTGCTGAAACCACATGTGACCAGTGTGTGCTATTAATCTCTGCCCTAAATCGTCCCCTCAACCCTCAGCCCTCAACCCGCCCTCATGCCAGATTTGGCTCAGCAACAGAAGCGTGGCTTTGACTGTGACTGACTGGAAAAGAAATGGTTAAAGTTTATGTAAAAGGGGGGAGGTGGGGATGGCGAGCGCTTTGAATTTTACAGCAAATGCAGAAAGAAAAAAAAAAAAGTGGGAACGTTGTCCCACCTGCTGTTTTACTGTCTCTTTAGCCCTTGGCCTCTGTGATGGCAACGTCTGGAACGTGACGGGGAACACAATAAGCCGTTTAAAGATGAAACGAGGCAGGATGTCAGTAGGAATCCCTCGGAGAGCACAAAGTATAAAAAAGACGTCTGCGATTCTAAAAAACAAGCATTCAGCCGTCATTGTTTTGCCAAGGAAATGTCCTTTTACTGTAGCTGAAAAGTGTTTAAGGATGTCCTCTTTCCCCCCCTGGTTGTATCTGTTCGACACATCCTGTCCCCTGTACCCACTTGTGTGTCACTGTATGAATGCCTGTGTGTGTGTGTGTGTGTGTGTGTGTGTGTGTGTGTGTGTGTGTGCGTGTGTGTGTTTACATGGCATCCTCTCCAGCCTCTCCATCCTGTTCCTTGATCCAAAGATACTGGGATCAGCTTGCAGTCTGGCTCTGTTCTACTAATTTTGGATCCATTAACGACGATGCATCAGGGACTGGGCCAATCCATTCAGAAAGTGTGTTGTTTTCTTCTGTTTTGTTTTTTTTTACATTGATCTCACATGTCAGAGCCATTAACAAAGTGCCTGAACACATCCACCTTATCTTGTGTATTTAAATTGAAATCAACAAAAAGAATTGGTAAAAAAAAAAAAACAACACTGTACTAAATTAGATCTTTTTCCTTTTTTTTTTACACTTAGCATTTTTACCTCTGTAAAAACAACAAAACAAAATAAGAGCAAAAATTATATTATATATATCACGTGTATGTTGTACATTTTTATTTCTATATTTGTTTTTTTTAAGTAACTGTTTATAACATGTACGATGGATGTAGCTCTTGCTTTTTGAGAAGGACAGGGAAGTTCTTTGTAGATACTAAAGAGTGGCCAGGATCTGTGAGAAAATCAAATTGAAATGTGTGTCTTACCTTCTGCCTTTAATAAAACAAGAGAACACAGAGGAAACCCCCAGCACTCCCCATGAAACTTTTCTGGTTTATTCCACGCATCTCAGATTTAAAGTGTCCAACCTGTATGGTTTTCCAATTGGCTTTAGAAATTATTCCCGTCTTCAAATCCCAGGATTTGGACATGATTGGTAGTTTCTCTGCCGTTTCTCAAACTTAGCTTTTCAGTGTTAACTGCATAACAAACAAAAAGTCTGAAAATGATCTGGTACTGAACTGAAAAAGTGTTACAGTTCGAAGGGGGAGGGGAAATATAAGGTTGAGATTTACAAGAAGTGCCGAAAACATAAAGTAAAGATCAATTCAAAATATTTCCATGTCTTGAAAGAAAATCCCAAGGAAATGTGAGCTGACCCAAGACTTTTGCACAGTGTTACATGTGCACTTTAATAAAATGGAGTATGATTACTTGTTCCATTTAACAAGTCAAACTTATTTAAAGTTGAAACCAGATAAAAGTAAATCAATTTGGTAAGGCCTGGTTGATGATGTTACAGCTTTGTAGGCTCACTGACAATATTTGAGTTAAATGGAAGCATACCGTATACTCACTGCTTCCTTGTGCAACATGTGGATAAAATCAAATAAGGCAAGACATCTGGAAGGCAATGAACCTCCACTGCTCTGGTATATCCCTGGGCACAATTTCCAAATGCCTGAAGGAGCATGTTGTGAGACGACATGGGAATGTCCTCCGAAGCCACCAATCAGTTCCGAATCCCAAAGATGACTGTTTCTGTGCGAATTAATCTCCTCAAAAGCAAAATATCTTACAAAGATGTTTGCTGAACCTGGAGTTATCAACAGTGAAAACATTCCTACCCTGACTTAGGCTGAAAGGCCATGCGGTCAGGAGGAAGCAATTACTCCTAAAGTATCAGGAAAAGCCAGTCAGGAATTGGCCGATTCATTCAGAGACTTTAATTTCTAGAGACATGTCCGGTAGGTCTGATGATTGTAAATTGAAAGTTTTTGGCCATAATGACAATTGTTCCATTTGGAGGTAAAAGGGGTATGTCTGCAAGCCTGAGATTGTTGAGGCATCATATTATGGGGGCGATTTGCTTCTGCAGGGACTGGTGCACTTCACAAAACAGATATGGAAATATTGATGCAACACCTTTAGGCTTCAGACAGGAAGCTAAAGCATAAATGGATCTTCCAAACATACGAAGATCCTGAGCAGACCACCAAATTAGTTCCAAAGCGGCTTTAGGACAAAGACGGCGACGCAGAGTGGCCATCCCAAAGTCTTGCAGAAAACTTGTTGACGGAGCTGAAGGGTTGTGTGGGAGCTAAGCAGCCGCCAAACCTGACGCGCTCAGTCACAAGGGCTCTAAGGCAGAAACAGGCCGAAATTAAAGGAAGCCATTGTGAGAAGCTTGAGGAAGGAACCCAACCCTTTGACCTCAGTCATAATCCTAAACAACATCAAACAGGAAAAGTTTAATCTGATCTAATGTCAGTGAGAAAAAGGTCATGTCTTTTTATAAGCTCTATGTAAATGCGTGGTTTCAACTCGAGATTCACCGCACAGCGATATACAGTGAGTAAGATAAGCATATCAAAATCAACTTTTTCTCAGCTAGAAAATTTCTAATTGGGCTGTTGACATAATATTCACCCAAGATGTTGACAATGATCCAACTAGTCCACATGTACAAAGGAATCAAAGCAAATTAGTCCGCAAATTAAGTAATGGGGGGAAAAAAACAAACAAAAAAAACCCCCACAAACTCTACAAGAACAAAAGAATTTATTCTCTCTCCCAGGGCCGCAAGAACATCTGGGCAGAACTTCTTTGTTGCCTGGTATCCAACTATTAATGCTGCAATGGCAGGAACCAATGACAATTTCCTCAGATCTCTACCACTGGGTTCTTGTGAAGTATAAAGTGCCCTGGCCAGAAAGAACTTTGTCATTGATCTGGCCAACTCTAAAGCTCAAATTCCTCTGTTCGTGTGAAGGTATGTATAGGTTTTATATACCAAACAGATGAAGAAAATGATGTGCAAGAGGTGTAGAAAGCCAAGAAAGCCAAGAAAGCCATGCATATAATCCCTCTATGAAGGCTCTTTGTATGAGAATACCGCTCCAACGTGTGCATCAACTTTAAACGCCATACCACTGTCTTGGCTGGACCTTTCAAAAACGCGAATATAACTCAACCTTTACAGTGACATTTCTAAACTTTTGAATGGTCCAGTGAGTGGTCTTGGAGTCATATTCCAGAAGTGAAAAGAGCCACCATTTCATCATAAACCAATCAGGTCTCCCTCATAATATTCTGGAAAAAAAAAAAAAGAGTCTAAAGATTAATCTAAACAGTTTTCCCAAGAACTCTGGAACACTCTGTGAGCCACAGCAAAGCCTGGAAATACACTAAAGAATAACTAAGTCACTCAACAGCAGCAGTTTCTATTCACACTGCTGAAGAAATAGCATGTTAAAGTTTGTTGTAGAAGATTTGGATAAGCCTGTGAAGTGCTGGTAGAACATAGTCTGGATCTTATGATGCCAAAGCTGATTTTTTTGTTTTTGTTTTGTTTTGGCACTAATCCAACAGGAAGGGGACAGAGAGACGGGAACAAACGGTCCCCAACACACAACCAAAGAAACTCTAAATTGGTTTTAAAGAAATACATTTAAGAATGGGCATATCTACATGTATCACTAGATGGATATGACTTTGTCTTTTAGGAACTGATTTACTGAAAAAAAAAATTTTCAATGATATTCTAACTTACTAAGCTGAATGAACATTTGCCATGCTTTTATTCATCTCACGGATTAAGACCAGAACTTAATTTCATTTTAAAATTTCATTTGTGTTTCTTAGTAGAATGTAGTGGATTCAAACTTCATCTAATGTTCAGTGCACTGGCTTTGCTTACTACTGTTGACATCTTCCCCCACCCAGCATAATGCTGCCACCACAGTGTTTCACAGACAAGCTTCTGTTTTCATCCCGAGACAGTCTCTTTTCCTTTTGTTTTCCAGAATTTTCTGTGACATGAGAATAACTAAGGTTCCCATAGCAACAGTGATGTTTTGGAAAACCTCGACTACTCTGACTTTTCTATGCAAATATTTCTCATTGTTCTGGTTATTGGAGGTTGCCCATTTAAAAAGGGATGCTGTAGCAATAGCTTTGTCTGTGATCCTTCCGAAGTCTCCCAACAAATAATTTTCATAATCTCCTACTTAGAAAAACTTTAAAGGGTTTCAAAGACTCCCAGTTTAGCAGATAAATGTCAGTCTGCAGCTGTTGCAGCAGGTTTCATTTCCTCACAAGCAGCAGGACGAGGACATCAAGTCTCAACCTTCAGGCAGTTGATTTAAGAACCCAACATGGAACTAAAATCCATGTTATCCTTTGAGATGTGAATGCCAGCGCATGTGGTGAACGCAGATCTAAGGGTACTGATCAGACATTCAAATTAAAAATAGTTCAAGTTTGGTCGGATTTGAAAAAAAAAAAAAAAAAAAAAAAAAAAAAAAAAAACGTTAAAAAAAAAGTTAAAACGTTTGAACGGGAAAACGTTCGTCCCAAAAGTG